TATAAACTTTTGCCAAAACATATCATTGAAATCTTTGAATATTAGACATAAATCATAAAAACTTATTATTTAAAAAAACATACATATCGTCACCTAAAGTGTAAAATAACGTAACAGCATTTTCTTAAATTTACAGAACATGAGTTAAACAAAATTTAAATATTGGTTAAAACTGTGTTATATCTGATAACAGAACCTTAAAATGGTGTAGATATGTACATATATATATGTAACTTGAAGTAGTGGGTCGTACTCAATGAAACACTCAATTTCGAATTTTTTGATCATACGTTATTTTATATTTTAGATGACGATATATTCTAATTCTTTTATATCTATATATTCAAATGCTTTACAGTATTATGTTATTCAGTTAAATATTTTCAATTGATCCGAAATTTCAACATATGCAGATAATATTTTTGAAGGCCTTAAGAGTTTTATGTAATAGATATGTACATATGATATTTTCAAAATATTCTTCTTTCCTACTGCTTATATTTAAGTGTTTATTAAAAAAATAAATCTTTATGCCAAATTCATTGATAAAATACGATAGACTGTGAGTGTCATCGGTGAAACCTCACAAGAAATAAGCACAAAAAACTCACCTATGAGTAGAAAAGCAAATTGTTGAGAACCAGCTGTTTCGCAAAAACAAACCAGACAATATAAATAAATAGGCAATCAAGAAAAGTAAGTAACTTTGCATTTGGTGCACATATAATATTTTAAATTATTTTACGGATTTCGAAATGTGAAAGAATGACTTAGGAACAGCTGGAGCATTACTGGGTATGATTCAAATATAAAAATTTTTTTTATTTTATTTGCAAATAGAATCTTGTCAGAATTATTTACATAACCTTTGGGAGAATACTTCCTCCATTCTATTTCACTAAAATAATTCTAAAATTCATTAAAAATATTGAAATTTGTTAAACAACCACAACCGATTTTGCATTTTGAGCTTTGCTTTCATACATCACAAATTTGTGAGGCATTTGGGCTTTTGAAATCACCTCAGGGTACGGAAACCTCACAAATCACAAAACATCTCAATAGTATGGGTGGTGATTTTTGTGATTCCACGAGAACAGAGCTTTAAGTTAAAAATCGATAAACCTTATTATGTATACAAGGCTTGAATATATGAAGAAGTGAAAACACTCTATTAGTGTTGAATAACAACTAAATTTTGCGAACAACAGCCAACCATATGATGAACCCGTGTGTAGAAGACGTAAATACTTGTTCCCAACTCTTTATCTATATTTTTTGAGTGATTGGCAAAAGACGAAGTGCGCGAATGACAATTAAAGTACCATTAAAAAAGTATAGGTGAGAATTATTAAAAATTATAGAATCTAATATGAAAGGCTGATACATGTATTAGAAAGTTAAATATTTTTTGATAGTTATGTGCTTTTGATTGAGTAAAAATGTAACTCGTTCCATTATTTTATCTACATGCATAAGAGATTGTGTTGCATATACATATACACATATTAAATATTGTGCTATTGAAAAAAAAATGTAGAGGAATGCAATTTAGGACACGCAAACAACCTATTTATTTTATATACAGCGGATACTCTAATAAATTTGAATAGTGGAATTAATAAATAGTAATTAACCAACGACCAATCAGTACATAACAGAAAAGTGTAAAAAGAATATAAAATAAAACAAAAAATGTGCAATTTGTAAAAAATGGTTCTCATTTAAAAGTGTTCTTGTGTAGCGTCACGAAAAGAATTGAGAAGCAAAATCGATTTATGAAAATTTATCTTCATAAACATTGACAACTTTAGTTAATTTTTGCAGTCTGATAAATTGTAAAGTTTTCACTTTGCTTGCGTCGACAACTCCAATTGGAAAGAACACCAGCAAAAACTCTTCATCTGTGTACGTAAGCATACATAAACATAATTTCTGTTTTTTTTTTTTAATTTTGAGCAAATTTTAGGCACGATTACGATTCTTTTGACGCCGCGATTTAAGGGTATAATCTGAAAGAGGATAATCTCCTGATTGAAAAATGTATACACATATACCCTTCTCAGACTTACCGTTTACGAGTTATTTGTATTTAAAGTTCCTCAATTTTATATGCAATTTTTTATTTTTATATTTTTATTTACATGTCATGACAAATACTAGTGTTGCCACATATTTTGTTTTGTTCATATTTTTTTTGGGTCGAACTACTTTTTGCACTTGCGGCCTTCGGCTGCGCTTCAAACAAAAAAAGAATCCTTGTCGGTCCAACACCGGGGTGTTCATAGTTCTCTTGTGTCGAACTACTTTTTGCACTGGCGACCTTCGGCCGCGGTTCAAAAAAAAATAACCCTGGTCGGTCCAACACCGTGGTGATCATAATTCTTTTGTGTCGAACTATTTTCGCCACTGGCGGCCTTCGGCCGCGCTTCAAAAAAAATGGCACGATTCCGATTACTTTGGCGGAGGGGTAAAAAAACAAAATTTCCATAGAAATGGGGTATGTACGGATAGGGGAGCTTCTCCAGAGTAGGAATATCCAAAAATTAGATAAAAATTACTAATATTTTCTAAAATATTCATGTTTAAAATTTCAAAAATTTGCACTGCGAACACATGTTATTTCACTATGTTTCACTAATATTTTTCAAGTTTTTTTTATGTATATTTAAATATACACTCTGAGCTTTAAAATAAGCTCACATTTCACATTTATTTTGTAATTTTTCTGCTAAATTTAGTCATTTAAAAATTACTTATCAAATTTATGGCTGACAAGTTTAGAGTGTTTATATTTACGAGGAAAACCAGCCTTGCCACACCTTCAAAAACAAAAGTGAAAGATTTTTCAGCGTTTCACAGCGTTTTCTGTGTTTGTACTTTCRAGTGTTTCTTTTTTCTCTATTAACTATAAAAAACTATAAAGAAGAAATTTATTAAGCAAATAAGTAATATTATATACATGTATTAGTAATATTGTATATACATATGCATAAGTAATATTATATAATAATATTACGTAAAAAAGTGTAAAGTATACTCAAGTACTTTCATGCAGTACTCTTTTCTGCGTTGGCGGCCTTCGGCCGCACTTTAAAAAAATAACTCYGGCCGAGCGAATACCCGGGGTGGCTCAAGTACTTTCGTGCAGTACTCCTTTCTGCGTTGGCGGCCTTCGGCYGCGCTTTAAAAAAATAACTCTGGCCGAGCGAATACCCGGGGTGTCTCAAGTACTTTCGTGCAGTACTCTTTTCTGCGTTGGCGGTCTTCGGCCGCGCTTTAAAAAAATAACTCTGGCCGAGCGAATACCCGGGGTGGCTCAAGTACTTTCGYRYAGTACTCCTTTCTGCGTTAAAAATAAAAAAATATATTGAGTTTTTGTTATAATGTGGTTAAAGTGGTTATATTTGTTGGTTATCATGCACTCATATTGAAACANTAAAGTGGTTATATTTGTTGGTTATCATGCACTCATATTGAAACAAAATTTGAGTTTTCGTACTGTACTGTATACTGTATACTTTACACTTTATTACGTAATATTATTATATAATATTACTTATGCATATGTATATATAATATTACATATTTGCTTAATAAATTTAAAAAAGAAAATATCCATATGCATGAATAGAGAAATTTTTGCGAAAAAGAGGAATTTCAGCGAATTGCCTTATCATCACATGGCAGCGCTCCATTTCGTCGTAATTTTTAGTAAACAAATGAAGTTCAAACGAGAGTAAAATGTAATTTTTAAAATAAAGATTTTTTAGGTAATAAACCTACTAAAGGTGTAAAATGTGGATTTATTTAAAAGTTTATAGTGTAAATTAATTAATTTAAAGTGAAAAATGTGAATAAACAGTTCCTCTCCCTACACTCCTGCACCAGAAGCGACCTGATCTCGTAAGAGGAGATCGCCTTCAGCGCCGCTTGACTATCGCTTAGAAAAGCTATACGCTCATTGCGATAGTTGCGATGGAGGTTTATTTCTAAGCACCGGCTTATAGCATACACCTCTGCCTGGAAAATGCTCGRGAACTCCCCCATGGATACTGGGAGCCTAGTGCGTGGGCCCACAATCTGCGCCAATTCCCTCCGACATTTTGGAGCCATCTGTGTACCACCTTATAGTACTGTTCCTCAACAACCGCTCGARGTTGGAGTCGTTCCACTCCTCTTTGCTGCCGAGGGTGACCTTAAACCTCTTCCTTATCCCTATCTTCTCCATCCTCCGGTATGACACTATTTTTCCTTTTCCGTACCTTTGGCATTGGATTCCATTGTCTGTTAGCAGTGCTAGTAGTTCGTCCACAACAAGACTCCATAGCAGGGGTGATAACACACCCCCCTGCGGACAGCCTCTTGTTGTGCCGAGACGAATACTGCTATCAGCTACTGTGGTCTCAGCAACCCTTGAGCGCAGTACGGCATCTATCCATCTAAGCACCGGTGCCGCCACATTCCTTTTCTCCAGTGCCCTTGCTACACTCTTGTGGGACGTGTTGTCAAAGGCTCCTTCGATGTCTAGGAACGCGCAGAGCATCACCTCCCCATGCTCCATTGAACTCTCTATTTCAGAGGTCAACTGGTACAGAGCAGTGCTAGTAGATC